AGTGCCTGTGGATGCTCAATGTAAATACCACTTGGCTTTTTATTTGAAATAGGGGTAATTCTGTGCTACTGACCTGACTAAAATTTTAAAGAGTATTTCACTCATTATTTGTGGGATATTACAAATGACCTGAGTTTCCTTGGTAATTGTTCATAAACACAACTAAAACCTTTTGTCCAGAACCCTGAGTTATCTAAACAGCAAATAATTATGCATATCAGTACTCCTGTGAGCAAAGTAAATTGTTGCTGTCTCTCTCAGAGAGCATGCGCTTCCATGAAATACTTTGAATGAAAGTTTTCCACATGAAATAATGTCTTCATAGGACAAGCATGCTAACCCATCTCTGTTAACCATATCCGTGAAGTAACTGATTTGGGTCATAATCAAGGCTTCACTGGTATTAGAGTAAGTATATAATTAGACAAAATATCTATAAAAATAAACAACTCCTCTTAAGGGCTTGATCCAACATTGATGTGAGGCATAATAAGGGAGAACAGTACAACGGATAGAGAGGGGGACTCAGTGATTTTGAAGTAGAATTTAGCATTTGTGTTAGTCTTCTGTTTCAAAAGACAAGAGAATCCAACTCAAACTAGAAAATCCAAATTCCCAAGAAAGGGAATGAATAGTTCACGTAACTGAAAAGGCTAGTGCCTGGCTTTCGCTGTGGCTACAGGGACGCAAACAACTCTCTTGTCTCTGAGCTTTACCTCTACTGCGTTGGCTTCATTCTCTGGGTCAGTAAGATAGATCTCAGATCCAAACTTCCAGCCTCTCCGGTTGCAAAACAGCAGAAAACAGAACCTGAAAGTCTGCTTGGATGTGACATCAAAAGCACAGGCAACAAAATGAAATGAGACAAGTGGGGCTACATCAAACGCATCATCTTTGATTGGATCACGTGTCTGTCTCTGAATCTGTCACTCTGGGCAGGAGATCGTCATGGCATGGATTGAGTCATACGCAAAATCTGGACTTGGATGTAGATGTAATACTGCATATGGGCTGAAAGTGCAAGAGTGGGGTTCCTTTGAAGAAAATTAATTCTTCAAAAATCAATCTTTGTCCTAACCCTGTCCTCTTTTGCAGAAGTACCCCTGTAACCGATTTCTTTTGCTTATAATTGTATATATGTAAAAACCAATACCTTTATCATTTTATATATAAAGACTATCTTATATGTTTTCCTTGCTTTTATCATTGACCAGTGTATTTTAACACCCACACTTATGAAGATCCTGTAACTTCTCTTTTTAAGTAACAAAAATATCCTAAACAGACATTGTTTTTTATGAAGTATTTAAAAAATACCAAATGTGAATATCCAAATGTGCTTAAGGATAATAGCTCATTAGCAGAAACCTTCTGTGAATCCTTACATAAAATATATTTCTTCTTAAGCTTCACTATATGGTTGAGGTTTTAACACAGGCAGAGAATACCTGTAAGTAAAGTAAATGCTTTTAAGCAAGAGGTATTTTTGGAAGAATTCATTGATTTAGAGCTTCTTGGCTGATGTAAGTATGACGTATGAATTATGGCTAAGTAGTGTCCTTAGTGATGAAAATTGGTCACAAACACTTATATTCAAAGCATAATGCATTAAAGACTTAAATGTAAGACCTGAGCCTGTAAAACTATAAGATACAGGGGAAAAAACTACATGACATTAGTCTTGGTAATGACTTCATGGATATGAAATCGAAAGCACAGACCACAAAAACGAAATGAGACAAGTGGGACTACATCAAACTGAAAAGCTTCTGCACAGTAGAGAAAACAATCAGCAAAGTGAAAGGCAACCTACAGAATGGAAGGAATTATTTGTAAGTCATTTATCTTACAAAAAACCAAGGTTATACATACAGAGAACAGATTAATGGTTGCCAGAGGCTAAGGGTTGAGGGTCTGGGAGAAATGGGTGAACGGGGTCAAAAACTTTTTTAAATAAATTCAAAAAAGAAAATCTTGTAATATGTGACAACAGGGATTAAGTGAAAGAAGCCAGCCACAGAAATGGGACAAATACTGCATGAATCCCCTTATGTGAGGTGTCTAAAGTAGTCAAACTCATAGAAGCAAACAATAGAATAGGTTGCCATGAGTTGAGGGAAGGAGCAGATGGGGGTTGCAACTCAAGGGATAAAATATTTCAACTACACACAATAATTAAGTCCTAGAGATCTGTTATACAGCTTTGAACCTGTAGTTAACAATACCATAGTTTACTTACAATTCTAAGAGGGTAGATTTCATGTTAATTGTTCTTACCACAATAAAAACAAAATAAAACATTTATCCTCTGTTGGACCTGATAGTGAACCTCCACTGATACCTGTGTGTGTACTCACATGTTTAATAGTGAATAACATGTCTTTATTAATGTGTACTTGCTGGTGGACTGTTTCTCAGCCTCACTTACAAGTCACATATTTTTTTCTCCTCACAGTGAGACTAATTCCTACGGGTGCTAGAGCTGGCTTAAAAATGGACATTGGGCATTATTGGCTGACTTTTTTTTCTCAGGCAGGGAAAGAATCCAGTAATACTGACAAATTGGATTAGTTTCAGGTACACAAAGACTCACTGAATCTTTGAGGTGGAGGGGAGAAGGACCTGTGCTATGGATAACCACGATTTGGGCTTTACTCAACACAAGTTTACTTTTGGCAGTACCAATATATAAACTTGATGTGGTGATTTTGAAGTATTTTAGTCTTTAATTGTTTATCAGCCTGATGCATGGGAAATAATTGTTCAACCACATTCCAGTATTTGAAAAATCTGCAAAACTTTTGCTTTGTAAGCCATTGAAATTTTTACATTAAAAGATAACTCATGCAGTAACTTTACTGGCTAAATCTTGGAACAATTTAAATGATGATGAAGTGAACATGTTATATTTTAGGTTGATTCACTATTATTTATCAAAAATATCTTATTTAAGAGTATCTTCTACTTCTGGTTATTTTAGTATGTCACTTTCGTTAACAGTGATATTTGCCACTCATTTTTTCAAACTGCTATGTATATATGCCAACAGTATTTTTGCTTCAGATATTTTATTTTTCATATGAAATTTCATTTACATATGTGGAAAATATTTCAAGCTAGTTAAAATATTTTTATTAATAAATTGTAGAAGTGGTGGAATACATCTCTTTTTTTGTCAAGCTTTATTAAAAATAAAATCGTATTAGGCACAGACTGGAACTCATGCCTTTCCAGTGGGTTGTACCCCTACTTCCAATTTCTAGGTGAGGAAAGAATTAATCTGCAGAGTTCATCATGTGTATTTTAGTTCCTATTGCTATTCAAAACAGGAAGAGATGTGACAGTTTTACTAATTACAGTCTACGTATGTCTCTTCTCATAAGCTGCTCTAAAAATGTCAACACTGAATCTAGGTATAGAAAATAACAGACATTAGAAAACGTTTTTGGATAGTAAAAGTAATACTAATCATAGCTGAACTAGATTTATTAATAAATGATTTTCCATGTTCATCCATTGAAATTCATCTCTTGCATTTTGTAGCTTTTATTGTAGCACCCCTCACTCTGCAGTGCGCAGTTGTGTGTGTTTGCTTCTATTTCTCTTTTTAACACTATAATGTGAGTCTGGAGAGTTAGATCTTTGTTATTCATCTTTTCATTCTGTTGAGCATAATAGGTGTACATGTTAATTCCACTGATCTTTGTAAAATAATACACTGTGCAAAATTGAGAAGTCATTTTATATGTTAATCCTTAGCCACTAAAAATATTTCTTATTTTTTCATATTATTTCAGTGAATCAATTTTTACAGAAAAAGATCCCATATACTTGTTAATTTTGTTTATAAGAGAATTGTTTTACATATTCTTAGGGATAATTATTGATACTTCACCATCTGTTTCTATTTATCAGTCTTTTCAATCTCCCTGTTCAGTTGTTCTATGCCATACTTTACATGTGGGATGATATCTCCATTTTAACTTTTGATGACTTAGAACTTTTATACTTTGATTTTTAAGAAATGTGCAGAATCACAGTGGATCTGTGGCATATTGCTGCACTGATGGACAGTGACAGCATTGGGGTATGGGTGGGGACTTGACAATATGGGTAAATGTAGTAACCACATTGTTTTATCATGTGAAACCTTCATAAGAGTGTATATCAATCATACTTTAATAAAAAAAGAAAAAAGAAAAAAGAAATGTGCAGAATATTCTGTAATCTTCTGTAAGTTATGTTTGTGGCTTAATTTGAATTTGGGTGCCATTCCTTCTAAGGAAATAATGTATGGTGATTGGTAAAATGAGATGTCCCTCTTAGATAGCTCTGTGAAAACTCTTACACGTTTTAAGTAGCTTAGGCTTTTCTTCTCCAAGAACACAAGGCTCTTTAGACTTCACTTTCATTCTAACAAAAAACAGACTAACATTTATTGAATGGTTACTAAGTGTTCCAGTATTGTGAATGAGCAGCATATAGAATTATTAGATCATTAATTGCTTCCTAATTCTATTCTAGAATTGATACTATCCCCACTTACAGATGAGGAAGCTAAAACAAGAAAGGAGTATCTTTTTGCCACTTGATCTCTTTTATTTCTGAAACAGAACACAGAAAGTAGTCTCACATATCATGGATTAGTGAAAAATACAGTGGGACTTCTATTTCTGCCCATGTGGTCAATTAGATGACCTTTGCAATGTCTTACCTGCTATTAAACACTTAGAAATTCGAGGTAAATATTAAAACACTATTTTAAATATATAGCTAAATTTGCAAAAAGGTAAGAAGAGTTCTTACGTGCTGTATAGTGAAGTAGCTCAAAAAATAGTTTGCTTCTCCTGAAACTGCTAGTACTCAAGGTCTTTGCTGATCTTTGTGACTTGGTGACTATGGTTTTAACAGCTGCCTGGGGACAGAAGGCAAGGGGTTTGGTCTGCTCAGGGTGAGGAATTAGAATCTCAGACATTCCCTGTCATCACCTCGGGTAAAAAATGAAGTTTGCTCTGAAAACATTAGGTAAAGGATATACTTTTTAAAAAAATAATAAAAGAAGGTATTGATGCTAACATACTGAACATTTCTAGGAAAACTAGAAACTAGGTAAGTAACAACAGCAAAAATAGCCATCCATGGACTAAGAACATTTCAAGGCAGTCCGCCTTATTTAAATGCCTCAGTATATCCCAATCTTCATTCCATTTTGTTTCATTTTTCCATTTTTACAGTGTTGACACATTACCTAGATTATTAGTTAATATTTCAAAATAAATGTATGTGTTACACGTATGATTTATTCTTACAAGAAACCTCTTGTATCACAATAGAATAAGGAAACCTATCAGACCTTCCATAAATAGAAAGTATCTATAAAAATTAATAAATAAGGGAACAAAGTTATAACTATGCCCTGTTGTCTGTTATTGAAAGAAGGAAACGCAAGCATCAGAAGATACCAAGGACACCATATACAGAAAGGGAAGGCACTTTTCCTTACTTGTGTGTGCTTTGGAGGGTCCTTTTTAGTACAACTGTGTCAATGGCTGGGTGGGAACAGACCCAAGGAGGGTCTGAATTCCTTTTTTAATGTTTTAATATTTTAGTGAATGCCTGCTTTTTCATTGTATCATTTGAAAGCTACTGCTCTAAGCTTCCTATATTGAAGGATTCTCTGTTTTTTTCTATCTGAAGCTCTTTTAAAAGCCTGTGCTGATGGAGGTGCCAACCGCCTATATGATCTCATTGGAAGAGAGAGAGAAAGGTATGCTTTCTTTTAGCCCACGCCCTTAACACCAGTATTTCTGCTCTTCAGTTTGCTCTGCTTAAATAAATGGTTCATTTTCTTTCAAAGGTTAACAGAAAACCACCACACTGACAGAGCTGCTTAACCATGTTGCATTATTTCTTTGCTGTGAATGGTATTTCTTAGTAGAACCCTGCCAATCATATTTTTATTTTAAACCACATTCTTCTACTTCGAAAGTCTTGTTAAGTAACATTATCAAATAGTGATACCTGTGAGGACTTCGAATATTGACTAATACAGGTTTTTGAGTTGTTATTCAACCAGCTTAAATTAATAAAAAGCTGATCTCAGATAAGTGGATTATATATTCTGTTTTAGAAGTTGCAAGATTTTTATATTAGTGTTAAGGACCAGTATAATTTACTGTAACTTAGTTGCTTCTGAGTTAGGCACACATACATATTTTAGGAGAAAAATAATTTATTTCTTAATCATCTGTTATCTGTGCTGTCTGGTTTTTCTGATCTTTGCATGGTGAGCTATTTTTAAATAAGGGAATATGTTTGAGGAAAGCAAAATTTAAATTAAGCCCATGGCCAGCATGTTTATAGTTCAGCCTCTTGGCAAACAGAAGAATTTATAGGCTAGATACAAATAAACAAGCTATGAAATTTGTTTCCACTTCTATCATATATATATATATATA